ACACTTGAATCAATTGGGTTATTTGCCCAATGATAACTCTGTAAAAAGTTTGTATTTATGGCTTTATCACTTAAGTTATTGATTATCTAAAAGCCCATATAGGATCATACATATGCATTTAGGAGCATATAGTTTCATGTGGTGGATATATTTTGTCGTGGCATTTTATTTTGGAAAACGAAGTTGCGTTATGGGAAAAATGTGTTGTTTAATTATGTGCAAGATATAGGAGCAATGATGTGCAAGAAGAATTGTCTCGACAAATTGGAAATGATGAGTAGAATATGAATATCGTGGTAACTTGAACGGTATTTCTGGGCAGAAAAGACAAAAGAAGATATTTTTATTAAAGCCAACTGTACTTGTCAATACGTGTTATCTGCTACAGCCATCTAGGAAGGGACAACTGCCACCTTAGTACCACCCCACACGTGAAGGGAATGAACCTTAGGGTACCATGGGAATTTTGACACAAATCCCTAGGTTTATTCCCCACTATAAATAGGATATGAGGTCACCATATTTAAAGGGACTTGATTTTGAAACATTTGAGCTGAAACTTTAGAGAGAAAATGTGACTGGAAGAAAAAGTTTCCCCTTTTTCTTTCCCTTCATCTTTTCCATGCTTTTCCTCCATTAAAAAGCTCAAGGGAGTGGCAAGCTAGGCGTTCGACAGGAGCTAGCAAGCTAATGTAGTTTGTGGTGGCCGATGGGAGCTCCGATAGTGCAATCAAAGGTTTTTCCTCCATCTCTTTGTTGTTTTTTCTCTCTTATCACATTCAGGTTATAAGGACTGAATATATTTTATGATTTATTTCATGGATTATTCGAATCCCACCATGAACTAGCTTTATTTGGTGGGAGTTCACTATAGATGTTTAATTTTTTTCTTTAATAGATGGTTTTTTTTTGTGTTTTTATTTGTTTTGTTTATGGTGCTTAATGACTTAAGGTTGTAGGAGCTATGAGTGTAGCCATTCTTTAGGAAAATACTTAGTGTTTGAGAGAAACTAAGTAGCTCATCTTTAGTGTTCGAGAGAAACTAAGGAGGATAAACATAAACAAAGGATTCTAGTTAGTAACTAGACCTAATCCATCTTTAGACATAAGGCTAGGATTTCAATCGACCAAAAGGAGTAGTGCTCGGTCGAGAGGTTAGATCTTAGTGCTGACGCTGAGTGGTATTACCGTGACATATTCTGTTGATCTGAACCAATAGGATCTCTGCACCTACTAACGCCGAGAGGTATTGCCATGGCATTTTCAACCTGTCGAGTCCCTTGACTTGAAATAGCATAGGGCATTTTCGTAAACTCTGTTAGGAAAGTAAGACATAGATGCAAGAGCATCCTGAGAGGATAGACTTAAGTTTCCTAAGTTACTCCTATTATTCATTCCCGTAGTAGTTTGTTGTCTGAGGATTGTCAAGTTATTCTATTCAAATTCAGTGTTTAAATTTTGTTTTACCTTTACATTCTCATTTGATTACTTTACACACAATCTATTTTTCCACGACATCTCCATTTACTTACACATCACACTATCATTCTATCCCCACCAACATACATTTCATTTTTCCTCAACACTCTCATTAGTATATACCATCACACTAACTATATTTGGATTAAGTAGTTAATTGCTTTGATTAAACTTATAAATTTCCCCTTGTCCATATGGATACGACACTCACTCATCACTGTATTACTTGTTCGGTTGTGTATACTTGCACATACTTCACATCCATATTTAATACTCACAAAACATGAACAAATTTTTGGTGCCATTGCCGGGGATTGGCGACTAGAAGTTAATTAGTTTTGTCAAAGCATTTTTATTTAACTTCTTCATTTTTTATATAGTTTTACTTGTTATTTTCATTGTCTTTTTTAGTATTTTGTTGGTGTATGACCAGAAGAAATTTTGATGAGCCATTAGAACTAATTGAACCTAAGATAGAGAGGCTTTTAGTCAAAGGAGACATTCTCAACGTGCTCAAGCAAACATGTATCAAATTGGTAATCAATGTATTCATCAAGAGGAAGATCAGAATGTTAAGGCAATTCCGAATGTTGGGAATGCAGCTAGGGCCCGTCCTGTTTGAGATCATTTAAATCCTATATTGGATGACTTAAATCATGAAATTATGGCACCCAAGATTCAGGCAGCTAATTTTGAGCTCAAACAAGTCATGTTTAATATGATGAATTTGATAGGGCAGTTTGGGGGCATGCCACATGAAGATGCCAGACATCATATTCGTAACTTCTTGGAGGTGTGCGATTCTTTTCGACAACAAGGAGTGCAAGATGATGTACTAAATTTAAAGTTATTTCCATATTCTCTTCGTGATCAAGTAAGGGCTTGGTTGAGTGGTGTTCCAACTGGCTCGATGGAGTCTTGGTGTGATCTGTGCAAAAGTTTTTTTCTACGATATAATTTGCAGAACATGAACACCCAACTAAGGAATAGCATTGTTTTTTTCATCAAACTGATGACGAATCAATGTATGAATACCAGGATTGGTATAAAGGACTTCTTTGTAAATGTTTTAATCATGGTTTTCAAGATTGGACTCAAGTAGTAATGTTCTATAATGGAGTCAATGCACCCACGAGGATGATGTTGGATGCCTCGGCAAATGGATCGTTGCTTGATAAATCACATGTAGAGTCATTTGACATCCTTGATAGGATTTCCAATAATGATTATATATTCTCATCTACAAGGCTTGGAGTCGGGCGAAAAGTACCAGGGACATTCGAGTTGGATACTAAGGATTTCGTGTCAGCCCAATTGTTTGCCATCACTAATATGCTAAAGAATCTACAACAATCATGTGAGATGAAAGAAGTGCAAGTCAACTTTGCATGTCTACTATGCCATGGCAATCACCAAGAGAGAGAGTGTCCTACCAATCAGGCATCCATCGACTATATAGGAAACTATAATCAAGGCAATATCAACCCCTATTCTAACACCTACAATCCTGGATGGTGTCAGCATCCAAACTTCTCATGAGGAAATCAAGGAACCAGAATGTAAGTCAACCCCCTAGGTAGTAGAAATTTAGCGACTCCCAAGGTTTTCAAATTAATATGCGATGTCATAATTCTAACAAGGAAGTACCATCTTCATCTAACACAAGTTCTTTGGAGGCCACGATTTAAGCTTTTAAACCAATCACGAAGACTATGCTACATCCATAAAAAACCAATGAGCCTTATTACAAAGTCAATGAGCTTTACTTCAAAGCCACAACTCATCTTTGAGGGCTTTAGAGGGTCAAGTTGGTCAAATTACCACGGCATTACAAGAATGTCAACCGTGTCGTCTTCTAAGTGACAATGAAGTCACTAAAGCTCATGGTAAGAAGCAATTTAGTGCAATCACTCTATGGAGGGGCAGCCAAATCAATGTACAAGACAAGTTTGAGGGAATAAAGAAGGATGATTCAACCCCCGTAACCGTGCAAACTGAGCATGAAATACCAGAAGAGACACAATGGAAGGATGATAAGGATGAGGGTTCACCCAGTGAAACTATTGAGGGAGCAAACAAAAATGCCAAGATAAAAGTTATTCCCACCCAGTCATCAAAAGAGGTCAGACCCCCACCACCCTTCCCAAAAAGACTGAAAAAACATAAGGATGACATTCAATTCAAGAAATTTTTCGACATTCTAGACTAACTGTACATTAATGTTCCTTTTCGTGAAGCTGTAAAGAAAATGCCCATATATGCCAAATTTATCAAAGAAATTATTACCAAGAAAAGAAAAATTGAGAAGTACGTGACCATTGCCATGAAAAAAACCTATTTCTCTGCCTTGAGCAAGTTGTCGTCAAAGCAACAAGATCCAGGCAGCTTTATTATTCCATGCTCAATAGGAGAAAACTATGTTGGGAAGGCACTATGTCACTTGGGCTCAAGTTTGAATTTAATGCCAAAGTTGATCTTCTTAAAGCTTGGAATGGGAAATGCAAGACCCCCCTTCGTTATTTTACAACTAGTCAGCCGCTCCCATATTCATGCTGAGAGACGAGTCGAGGATGTCATTCTGAGGGTGGATAAAATTGTGTTCCCAGTAGACTTCCTTGTACTTGATTATGAGGCAAATTCCACGGTGCCCATAATATTGAGAGACTCACAATTTCTTCTGCTATCATTGAATCTACTTCCAAAATGCTCTGACATTCTTCAGACTCATCCATATACTTAAGAGTACGGAAGACATTCATGGTCACACATTTCATTCAGTTGGGCATGACTTCCATATACTTGACCATGAATGTCTCCCGTACTCTTAAGTATATGGATGAGTCTGAAGAATGTCAGAGCATTTTGGAAGAAGATTTAATGATAGCGGAAGAAGCTGATCAATTTTTCCATAATAATTTCATTCAGTTGGAAAATCACGGGAGGCTTATTGAAGAGGAAAACGTCGAGGAGCCCGAGGACTTTTCTTGGGAGGTGCAGTAGGCTAGCTTCCTCAAAGCTAGCCTAGGTAAACACTTTAAACCTCTTGATTTTGATGAGTTTATTCGTAAGCCCTCATTACAGCATACACCTACCCTAGATCTAAAGAATTTTCCACAACATCTTAAATATGCTTACTTGGGTAGTGGTAAAACTTTACCTGTTATTATCTCTTTTGCCCTTACTCCTAACCAATAACGTAGCTTGCTAAGTGTTTTATCACAGCATAAAAATGCGTTAGGATGGACTATGATAGACCTGAAGAGGATAAGTCCAATTATTTGCATGCACAAGATTCTATTGGAAGAATGTCATGGCAAATCCATAGAGCCATAAAGAAGACTAAACCCCATCATAAAGAAGGTTATAATGAAAGAAATCCACAAACGACTTGATGTTAGAGTGATTCACCCCATATCTAATAGTTCATGGATAAGTCATGTCCAATGTGTGCCCAAGAAAGGAGGCATGACTGTGGTGACCAATGAAGAAAATGAGTTATTACCAACACGCACAATCACTGGATGGAGGATATGTATGGATTACACAAGTTAAACAAGGCTACCAAGAAGTACCATTTCCCTTTGCCCTTCATTGATCAAATGCTGGATCGATTAACAGACAAGGCATTTTACTACTTCTTGGACGGATATTCTAGGTACAATCAAACTGCCATTGCACAATAGGACCAAGAGAATACTACGTTCACGTGTCCCTATGGCACTTACACTTTTTGAAGGATGTCTTTTGGACTCTATAATTCCCTGGAAACTTTTCAATGTTGTATGCAAGCTATCTTCTCTGACATAGTTGAGGTTTTTCTAGAAATCTTTATGGAAGACTTCTCCATTTTTGGAGATAACTTTGAAAAATGCCTAGGCAATCTGGCAAAGGTACTCAAGTGATGTGAGGAGGCTGACCTCGTGTTAAATTGGGAAAAGTGTCACTTCATGTTTATCGAAGGCATTTTGCTTGCCCATAAGATCTCTCATAAGGGCATTGAAGTAGACAAAGACAAAATCGAGGTGACTGAGAAACTACCCCCACCAACATCTGTCAAGGGCATTAGGAGTTCCTTGGACATGTTGGGTTCTATAAAATATTCATCAAGGACTTCTCTATGATATCTAAACCCTTATGCACCATACTTCAACAAAATCAACCCTTCTTATTTAATAAAAATTGCCATGACACATTAACTGAGGTGAAATAAAGCCTTACCTCTACACCCATTGTGGTATCCCCTGATTGGATGTCATCACTTGAGCTAATGTGTGATGCGAGGGATTATGCCATGGGAGTTGTGTTGGGGTAACGAAGAGGTAAAATTTTCTAAGTTATGTATTATGTTAGTCGTACCTTAAATGAAGCACAATTGAATTATAATACCACTGAGAATAAATTACTTTTCGTTGTATTTGCATTTGACAAGTTTAGTTCATACTTGATAGGCACCAAAGTTATTATTCACACTGATCACTCATCCATAAAATACTTAGTGAACAAGAAAGACGCCAAGCCTAGACTCATTAGATGGATATTACTATTGCAAAAATTTGACTTAGAGGTGACAGATAGAAAAGATACTGAGAACCATGTTACAGACCATCTATCTAGGCTAGAGAACATTTCAAAATGTTATGACCGTTTAGATATTCAATAAGAATTCCCTAATAAGAAAATTTTATATGCCATAGCAATTCTGAGGTATGTTGACATAGTCAATTTTTTTGTTAGTGGTATTTTGCCTTACGAATTGAACAACCAAGGCAGGAGGAAGTTTCAGCACAATGTCAAGTTCTATTTCTGGGACGAACCATATTTATTCAAAAAATGATCAGACCAAATGATTCAATGTTGTTTCCCTTAGGAGGAGCAAAGGGACATTCTACACCATTGTCACACAACCCCCTATGGAGTCTATTTTGGAGTTACGAGGACCGCTGCCAAGGTTCTTCAATCCAGATTTTATTGGCCTTCACTGTTCAAATATGCTCATGAGTTTTGCAAAACGTGTGATAGATGCCAACACACTGTAAACATTTTCAGATGACAATAAATTCCATTGCAAAAGATTCTAGAGATCGAGCTTTTGATGTGTGGCGCATTGATTTCATGGGACCATTCTTATATTCTTTTGGAGACTTATATATCTTGCTTGTGGTGGACTACGTGTCCAAGTGGGTTGAGGCGATTGCAACACCAAGGAATGACTCTAAAATTGTGCTCAAGTTCCTTCATAATCACATCTTTATGCGATTTGGAGCACCTAGAGCCATCATTAGTGACGAAGGCACTCATTTTGATAACAAGTTAATTGCCAAGGCATTGCAGCGATATGGAGTGTGACACAAAATTTCCACGGCATATCACCCACAAACCACTGGACGAGCTGAAGTATCTAACTATGAGATTAAGCAAATTCTGGAGAAGGTGGTGAATCAGAGGAGGAAAAATTGGTCCCCAAAGTTTGATGAAGCACTTTGGTCTTATCGAACTACATTCAAAACACCTTTGAGAATGTCACCTTTCAATGCAACTTACCTATAGAGTTAGAGCATAAGTCATATTGGGCTATCAAGAAGCTAAATTTTGATGCGTAACTAGTTAGGGAGGAAAGATTACTCGACCTGAATGAAATAGAAGAGTTTAGACCATAAGCATATAAAAATGCCAAGCTTTACAAGGAAAAGACCAAGAAGTGGCATGATCGAATGCTTTTGCTAAGGCAATTTCATGTAGGTCAGCATGTGTTCCTCTACAACTTGAGGCTGAATCTTTTTCCCGAAAAACTTAAGTCATGATGGTTCGGACCCTTTGAAGTACACCATATATACCCTTATGGTGTCTTTTATATAAGGAACATAGATGTTGTGACCATTTTCAAAGGTAATGGCCAGCGTCTGAAAGTATACTAAAGAGACTCGCCCTTGCGTGACAAATCGACACTCTTCTTGCAAGATGTCTGAGTCTGCCCGTACAATATTTTGAAATTTCCAAGACATTTTAAATTTACTCTTGCGCATAAATAATATGTGCAATTTATTTTATTTTATTATTTGTTTAGTTATTTTTCAGTTATATGAATAGTTTTTAATTTTTTTAGGGACCCATACTAATGGCATGTGAGAATAGCACGGTTAAGGACAGAGGAGTAGGCAGCAACAAGACAAACAGAGGAGGGAACTCTTTACTTTTTACTTTTTTAAATTTCTTTCTTTTTGGCTTTTACTTTTGCATTTAATATTTTTTTCCTTTTCTTTAAATCACCCCCTATCCACCCGTTAAATATTCGTTTTCCTCTTTTTATTTTTATCTTTTTGTTCTCTCACTTCAACTTAATCTTCTTTTCTTCTTCATCCATGCTTCAAACAGCATGCCATAACTTCAAGCTTCAAGCTTTTTCATATTTTCTTTCTTTTCTAAACCAAATGATGGTGCGCTCACTTCCTTCAAGCATGAATCATTCGTCTCCACCGCGTTTCATCGATGAAACGATGTAAGAACAGTTTTAAGAGCTCAAGAACCATCGAGTTTTCTTTGAGCTAGGCTTTTTTATCCAACGATGAAGATGTCGACCTTAGAGGAGATGTAGATATTGTCAGCCAAGATAAGTGGCATATATTTGCTCGACATCTGGGAATGTGAATGCCTATCTTATGAAGGAATTTTATGCCACTCTAACCGACCCTAATCAACATGTCATGGTAGTTCATAGTATTTCTATTCGTTTTACCCCTTCAGCTATTAATCATTACTTTCAATTGTAGGAAATTGTTGATAGCCACACCACGTTCGCAAAGGAGGTAAACAACAATACTTACCATGTCATTTTGGAGGACTTTTGTTTTTCAACCACTTTATGAAGCATAAGCTCTTCCCCACTGCCCATCACACCACTGTCTCACTACAGAGGATTGTTCTACTGCACTCAATATTTGTTGGGCGCTTCATTGATGTGGGAAAGATCATAGTGGAGCAAGTTCATACTTGTTTGAAGTGACCCGTAAGTTCCTTGGTATTTCTAAACCTCATCATGACACTCTGTCGTAAAACAAAGGTGGTTGAGTACCAGTTTAATGAAATATTAGTTGGGTTGTTATGTATTACAAATGCCAAGTTGCCTATGATGCTAGGGTTTAAAGAGAAAAAGGGAAATAAAAAAGAGGAAATCACCTCCTGAGCTGATGCAAACCAAGATGCCATGGAAAAATTAGAATCTCTCGCAGAGGTAGCCAAGAGGACCCAGGATCAAGTGGCGAGTCTGACCAGCAACCCGATGACCTTCTTTGCCTATATAAAGTGAAGGGACGAGATTGCCTTCATGGAGATCCTTCCATATGTAGATATTGACTTCCCGATCTTCTCTAATACACTCATGCGAACATCTGAGGAAGCCATGATATCAACAGATGCTCCCCAGCTAGCTAATAAAGAGGAGTCGAAAGATGTTGATCCAATCCACAAAGTGCTCAGAGCTAAGCGACAACAGACTGAGCCCCAGCTACCAATCACGACAGCACCACCGCAGCACATGAAGCCACATGATACAACACAACCAAAAATACTGCAGTAATTCCCTCTGTAAAAAAGTCAACACCGTTTGAAGAAGATGTCTGAACGTGAGGTTCCTCTATTCACCCTGATCCCTGAAGGCCTTAAGACCCATACTATACTGCCAACAGACTCTGAACACTCTATCCCTACACCATTATGCAAGCCCCCGCATCGCACAGCTGTTGCACCACCACCACCATAAATAGTCAAGGTACCTTACATTGTATTGAATTACATAACATGTAGTTTGTCTTAACTTAGTGTTTAACAAGCATTGAGGAAAATGATTCTCTCATGTTTTAGGGAGGTAGGGTTCTTATTAGATCATTAAATGACAATATTAGTATAATTAATATGCCATGATATTAAGTCAGGGTACCCTAAGGTTCATTCCCTATACCTGATCTCTGCTGCAGCCACCTAGGAGTGGACCACTGCCATATTTGTAACACCCTACACGTGAAGTGAATGAACCTTAGGGTACTATGGGAATTTTAACACAGATCCCTAGGTTTATTCCCTGCTATAAATAGGATATGAGGTCACCATATTTAAGGGGACTTGATTTTAAAATATTTAAGCTGAAACTTTAGATAGAATAGGTAGCTGGAAGAGAAAAGGTTCCCTTTTTCCCCTTCATCTTTTTATGGTGTTCCTCCATTAACAAGCTCAAGGGAGTGGCAAGTTAGGCATTCAAGAGGAGCTAGCAAGCTAAGGTGGTTCATGGTGGTCGAGCAGAGGTCTGACAATACACATCGAAGGCTTTTCCTCTATTCCTTTATTATTCTTTCTCACATATCACATTCGGGTTGTAAGGAACGAATGGATTTTATGATTTATTTCATGGATTAGTCAAACCCTACCATGAACTAACTTTATTTGGTGGGATTTCACTATTAACGGATGGTTTTTTTTTTGTGTTTTTATTTGTTTTGTTTATGGTGCTTAATGACTTAAGGTTGTATGAGCTATGAGAGTAGTCATTCCTTAGGAAAATAGTTAGTGTTCGAGAGAAACTAAGTAGCTCATTTTTAGTGTTCGAGAGAAACTAAGGAGGATCAACACAAATAAAGGATTCTAGATGGTAACTAGACCTAATCCACCCTTAGACATAAGGCTAGGATTTCAATCGACTAAAAGGAGTGGTGCTCGATTGAGAGGTTAGAAGTTAGTATTGACACTGAGTTGTATTGTCGTGCATATTATGTTAATCTGAACCAATAGGATCCTTACACCTGCTAACGCCTAGAGGTATTTCCATGGCATTCTCAACCTGTCGAGTCCCTTGACTTGAGATAGTATAGGGAATTTTCGTAAACTTTGTCGGTCTAGTAAGACCATCCTGAGAAGATAGACTTAAGTTTCCTAAGTGACTCCTATCATTCATTCCTATAGTTGCTTGTTGTGTTAGGATTTTCAAGTCATTCTATTCAAATCCAGTGTTTATATTTTTTTTGTCTTTACATTCTCATTTGATTACTCTATACACAATCTATTTTGCCATTACATCTCCATTTGCTTCCACATTACACTATCATTCTATCCACACCAATATACATTTCATTTTGCCTCAACACTCTCATTAGTAGATACCATCACACTAACTATACTTAGATTAAGTAGTTAATTATTTTGATTGAACTTATAAATTTCCTCCAATCCTTGTGGATACGACAGTCACTCATCACTGTATTACTTGTTCGATTGTGTATACTTGCACATACTTTGTGTCCATATTTAGTACTCATAACACACTAACACCCAACTCATGATGATGGTACAAATAATGTTCCTCACAGTATCGTTACTGATCCTTAAGTATCGATACCCCCTGGGTATTGATACTGAAAATAACTTCAATGGTTTAGGAAAACACTTGGTATCGATACTCTTGTTTGGAGTATCGATAATTCCATGGGAGGGTATTAATACTACCCCGAGTAACGATACCAAAAATGGCTTCGATGTTAAGAAAAAATAGCTCGGTATCGATACCCCTACTGAGAGTATCGATACCCCTACTGAGAGTATCGATAATCTACCCTTAGTACCGATACTCTTGAACGATTATCAATATTAACCTTCCCAAAAGTCCTTTGATTTATGCTTGCGGAAGAATGGTATCGATATTGTTCTTCCAGTACTGATACTCATGCCCATAAATGCCCTATTTTAGGCACAAAAATGTGGTCTAACTCTACTCGTTCCTCCTACCAAGGCTAATAAACATTAGTTAAGTCTTATTTGAGGTTTTAGGGGTTAAAATGTTTTATATTTAATGTTAAAAGACATTAAACATGTGATTCACCATGAACTACTCAAGCATGATTCATAAACTTAACTAACTATTTATGCACATCTAATGATCTATATGTAGTATGGATAAGTTATAAATATGTTTCCTTGATGCTAGGCTACTGAAAAACATCCTCAAATCACCCAAGGACTAATTTCCCTTTATACATTACCTTGGAGCTTTCAACTTGCTCTTTCACTAATCATGACAAAGAGAACGAGTTGTTAACTCAACTTTGAACTTAGGATAATACTAGAAACAATTTCTACAGCTTAATCATCTAAAAAACGGACTGTAAATCTTAAAGTTCCATAAACCCATTTTTGACTAACACCACCAAAACTTGCAAAGAAGGGCTTGATTTGAAGCTTGGGTGGGAGTAGATTAAGGTTCTTACCTTGAAAGTTTCAAAAGGGTGCTTGAATTTCTTAAAGTTTAAAACTTGCTTTGTGGTTGGAGGAAGAAGGAAGATGAAGAGATGGAGAGAATGACATAA